TAAACAAAATGTACATATTTACAATTGTTATCAGACATAAATATGTAAAATAACCAAAATGTATAGATTTCAATTGAAAGAAGATATTAATATGAAAAATAACAAAAATGTACACATATTCAATAAAACACCAAACGTACATATTTTTCAATTAAAATATGCCATAAATATGTGAAACATGCAAAATTTTGCAAATGAAATCCGTCATTAATATGAAAAATAAATAAAATGTATGTATTTATCAATTAGAATCAGTCATGAATTTAGATATTCATGACTGATTCTAATCGATAAATACATAGATTTTATTTATTTTTCTTGGCCAAAATGTACATATTTTTAATAGAAATCAGTAATTAGTATCTAAAACAACCAAACGTACATATTTTGCAATTGAAATCCATTATTAATATGTAAATTGACAACAACGTGCATATTTTTCAATTGAAATCAGTCATTAACATGGAAAATAATCATAATGTACATATTTTTAATTTGAAATCCGTCATTAATATGTAAAAGAATCAAAATGTAAAATTTTCAATTGAAATTAATTTAAAGTATTCCGTCATCAATATGTAAAATAGCCGAAATGTACATATTTTCAATTGACATCAGACATAGATATGTAAAATAACAAAAATGTACATATTTTTCATTTAAAATCCATCGTTATCAGTCATGAATATGTAAAATAACCAAAATATACATATTTCGCAATTGAAATCCGTCATTAATATGTGAAATAATCAAAATGTAAACATTATTCAATAAAAATCAGTCAGGTAACCAATATGTACATATTTTTTATTTGAAAACATTCATTAATATATAAAATAACAAATTGTACATAGTTATCAATCGGTCATAAACGTAAAATAAACGAAATGTACATATTATTCAATTGCAATACATCATTAATATGTAAAATAAGCAAAAAAATATATTTTGTTCAAATGAAATCAGTCATCAGTCAATATCTAAGAAAACAAAATATACGCATTTGCAATTGAAATCAATCATTAATATGCAAAATAACCAAAATGCACATATTTTTCAATTGAAATCAGCCAATAATATGGAAAATAACCAACATGTATATATTTTCAATTGAAATCAGTCATTATTATATAAAATAACCAAAGTGTATATATTTTTAATTGAAATCAGTCGTGAATATGTAAAATATATTTTCAATAGAAATTAGTAATTAATATGTAACATAAACAAAACCGTTATTTTCCAATGAAAGCATGCTTTAATATGTAAAATAATCAACATGAACACATTTTCAATTGAAATCAGTCATTACTATGTAAATTCAACAGAGATGCTTATATTTTCTATTGAAATCATTCATTACTATGTAAAATAACAAAAAAGGATATATTTTTAATTGAAATCTTACTTATTATAAAACGCAGATTGTGTGTGTGTGTCTGTACGTTTATATATTGGATCGGATTTCCTACATTTTTCAACCGATTTCAACAAAACTTAACAGGACTACGTAAAATTACGTTGCGGTGGTTCTGACAGTGCCAAAAATTGGAAAAACATAATTGTTTTTGGATGAAATCAATTTGAAAACACGATAAAACACGATTCTGTCGCCAGAATGAAAGGGGAACAACTCATATCGAGTTATACTTATTATCAAACCCAGGTTGTTTGTGTGTGTGTGTGTTCGTTTATATATGGAATCGGATTTCCTACATTTTTCAACCGATTTCAACAAAACTTCACTTTTTTTTTGGTAGGTAGTGTTTCTTATTGTCTTGCACACTTTTTTCTTTATTTTTACATTCAGATTGCTTTAAAAATTCCAAATTCTTAAAGACAATTGTTTATAATAAAATTCTATTCAATCGGTAGACTCATAACGATTGAAAACAATGTTTTTGTTTGAGTTTGGGTTTGCCCAATTCATAAAAGAAAAAAAAATAATTAAGACATGCGTGTCCGTCAACCTTAAACAATAATCTTTGTCAATTTTATTTTTCAGTCTTTATGATGGTCGATACTTGATCTATCTCTTACTGTTACATCCCCGGGCAACGCCGGGCTCTACTGCTAGTCAGTAATAAATATGTAAAAATGTAAAGATGTACACATTTTCAATAGAAATCTTTCATTAATATGTAAAATAAAAAATATGCATGTTTTCAATTGAAATCAGTCGTTAATATGTAAAATAAAAAGATGTGAACATTTTTCACTTGAAATCAGTCCTTTATGTCTACAATAATCAAAATGCCCATACTTTCAATTGAAAACAATCCGTAATATGTAAAATCTGCAAAATGTACATAATCTTTAATTACAATCCGTCGCTAATGAATAAAATAAAATAAATAAATAAATAAAATATTAAATAACCAAAATATACTTTTTCCCAATGGAAATAAGCCATTAATATGTAAAATGAGCAAAATGTACGTTTGTAAATTGAAATCAATTATTAATATGTAAAATAATCTAAACATATATCTTTGACAATTGAAAGCAGTTATTAATACATAAATTAAACAGAGATAGATATTTTTTCTTTATGAAATCATTCATGAATATGTAAAAACAGAAAATTTACATATTTTCAATTTGAAAGAGTAAAGTAACCAACATGTACATATTTTCAATTGATATCAGTCATTAATATGTCAAATAACAAAAATGTGCATATCTTTCAATAGAAATAAGACATTTATGTATAAAATAACCAAAATGCAAATATTTTTCATTTGAAATCCGTCATTTATATGTAAAATAACCAAAACGAAGAAAAACTTTCATATTCTTCAATTGAAATCTCCCATGCCAAAATGTATATACTTTTCATTTGAAATCAATTATGTATATGTAAATGTACCCAAATTTACTTATTTTTTTAAAGGAAAACAGTCATTAATATGTAACGCAAGCTACATGTATATATTTTGCAATTGGCATCAATCATTAACATGTAAAATAACCGAAATGACCATATTGAAATTAGTCATTAATTTTTTAAAAAGGATATTTTTCTATTGACATCCGTCATTAATATGCAAAAAAAACAAAATGTACTTATTTTTATTTGAAATCAGTTACTTATATGGAAAATAAACGAAATGAACATATTTTTCATTTGAAATGAGCCACTAATATGAAAAATAACAGCAATAATAAAAACAACAGCAAAATTGATATGTCATAAATATGTGAAAAATCAAAATGTAAAGATTTTCAATTGAAATCAGACATTAATATATAAAATAAACAAAATGCGCATATTTTCCAATGAAATCTATATATTTTTTTCTATTGAAATCAATCATTAATATGTTACGTAAATAAAATATACGTATGTTTCAATTGAATTAATATGTAACAGAAGGAAGAAATATATATTTATCAATTGAAATCCATCATTATGTACAATAACCGAAATGCGTATATTTTGATTGCCATCAGTCATAAATATATAAATTAACCAAAATGTATAAATTTCAATTGAAATCAGACATTAATATGCAAAATAACCAAAATGTACACATTTTCCAATTGAAATCAGTTATTAATGTGTTAAAGAAAACTAAATTAATATATTTTCCAATTGTAACCAGTCATGAATACGTAAAAGAATCAAAATGTACATATTTTTCAATTGAAATCAATCATTAATATATATATAACCGAAAGGTATATATTTTCCAATTGAAATCAGACACTAATATGTAAAATAAAAAAATGTATATTCTTTTAATTGTCATCTTTTTAGTCTGTCATTAATATGTAAAATAACCAAAATGTACATATTTTTTCTATTGAAATCAATTATTATGTAAACAAACAAAAATGTACATACTTTTCAATTGAAATCATTCATTAATATGTAAAAGAAGCAAAATGTACATATTTTTCAATTGAAATCAGGCATTAATATGTAAAATAACAGAAATGTACATATTTTCAATTTGTGGCCAGTGCGATATTACCCCTAAAATTAGAATAATGACAATAAAGTTCTAAAAGAGAAAACACCAATGAAAGAGAGGCATTTTCAAAGAACGAAGATGTTTTTATTCCCTAAAGACTTTGAAATGTAAATGTTACAGAAAGTTGATTTAGCACACGAAATAAAATCTTTTTATAAGTGTACGACGATGTCAGATAAATAATAGAAAATTACTGGAACAATAATAATTTGGAACTTTTAAATAAAGAAATGTATTTTGAATTGAAGTTAAAATAAGGATGTTTTGATCTAGAATTTATTTTTAAAACAAGAATCTCAGTAGTTTACAAAGAGCGGCAGAATAATCAATAGTTAATAGTTCGCACTAGCAAAACAGATACGTGACCAGTCTAGGGAACGTGAGGCTGATTCTCTTAATAAAGCGGCCAGGCAACAGAGAGAGAGAGAGAGAGAGAGAGAGAGAGAGAGTTGGGTTCGTTTGTCTTCGAATGTAGTCGAACTGAGTGGGAAGAAGTCAGCAATTGAAAAGGAAGCGTCCGCTGTGTTGCTGAAGCTGAGGGCGAAGAAGCGAAATACCGTTGCTAACATCTAAGTCCTGCTAATCCTGCTACTACTAATACTACTACTACTGAGAAACGTATCATCCAAGGTTGTAGTAGTACTTTAGGAGTATGTTGGGCTGGATGAAGTTACCCTCCTACCAAGGCAACCAGGTTTCACGATTGATTGGTAGCTGTAAAAAAGAAACAGCTGGTATACGGGTTGACAGACCGGGAGATGGTGCTGATGGCATATAAGGCAGAAGCGAGACCAGTCTCAAAATTTATCGGGGGCTTATACAAGGAAAAACCCCAGATAGCATGGGACGAGTTGAAGGGAACCCTAATCAGGCGATATGCTAGCGAGATATGCTAGAGGCGGTTCCAAAATTGTTTAGGATTAAACAGGAAGTAGAGGAAACTCTAGAAGAACTTGGAGACAGGATGACGGGATTAGCGGGGTTAGCATTGCCGAATCCGGAAATAAGAGAAAATGGGGCAATTCAGGCGTTGTTAGCGGACACTTTCATGGACGCCATCCGTGATGACGTGAGAGGTGACGTCCTTAAGGTTGGGCCCTGTAGGCTGACGGAGGTCCTAGCGGTAGCTAAAATAATAAGAGGATCTGGGAGAGGGTAAGAAATGGCAGAGACCAGGAAACACAAAGACCCGGGGTTTGGAAAAGTACAGAGAAGGGCCCCAGGAATGGGGTAATGAACATAAAACCCCGTAAGGACGCGAAAGAGAATGATTGGGAGTCCGAGGCCGACTCCAAGCGGAAGAAATGAGATATACGGTACGAATTTTATAAGTCCACTCCGGGACGGTACGGACTTGCAATTACGGAGGACACAGGGCCAGAGATTGCCCCACTAACCCAGGCCTCTAGGTTCGAATTGCACTAAGTGCGGAAGTTTGGGCTACAAGGCAAAGTGATGCACAAATGCAGGGGATAGGAAACTAGGGATTACGAAAATAGGCAGTACCCCCCCCCCCCCGAGAAGAATAAGCGTTTGGAAAACGACAGTTGGACTCCCGTAGAGAAATATGAGGCAGGATGGCCCCAATAAAAATAAAACCTCTGAAGTGCTGGACATGCGGTGTGGCTGGACATTTTTCAGCCAACTGTAAATGGCGAAGCTGTTGGCAATGTGGAAAGGTTGGACACTTGAGAATAACTGTCCGGAGAAAAAGGGTAATGAGAGTGGAAAGGGAGAGGCAAGGAGGTCGAGAGGACCAGTCTCCAATCCACCCAAGGAAAGACCCAAAAGAAGCTGGCCTAGGGTAGCCCCTATTGTCAGCACCCAGGTTGAGACTTGGGAGAGATAGGGATAGCCGACCGGGAATTGAAAATAAGGGAAGGTTGAGAAATAGGAACCAGAGCCCAGATATTTAAAGAGGAACCGGACTTCATCTGTAATGTATTGGTGGGGCACAAGACGGTAAAATCTTTAGTGGATACTGGAGCTTCGGTCTCCCTAATAAATTCCAAAGTGTTTAGACAGCTGGGGTTACATAGAAAACTCCAACCACTGGATTTCTTAATTAGCAGGCAGATAATATTCAGATGAGAATAGAGGGTATGACATGGCTATCATTCAAATTGGCAAGGACCACAGGTGAACTTAAGGAGCATGTGATACCTAATTTGTGTGGTGAATTAATTTTGGGGACTTGCTCAGGCTGAACAAAGCTCAAATACGCTTTGACCCGGCTACATTGATCTTAGAAGCGGGTGGAAATCCTATTGGGGAATGAAATGGAAAGGAAAATCCCCGTAGTGGCCCAGACCGATGTGAAACTTCAATACTGACAAGGAGTTGGGACAGACCAGGATAGTACAATTGGGGTCACCGGTGTCTATTTTCAAATAAATACCGGTGACCCCAATCCATAAGTGAAAATTAGTGGAAGAAGCATTTACATGAGATGTTGGACTCGGGAGATCTCGTTCCCCATGGAAGCGTTTGCCATTTTTATTTGCATTACAAAAATTAGATTATTACTAATTGGGGCCGTGTTTACCATTAAAACTGACCATAAGCCCCTCAAACATTTATTAGAAGCAGAGTGGACGAATAAAAATATTCAGTAGTGGACATTGAAGCTTAGTGGTAGTCAATGTAAAAATCTATCTGGAAAGGATAATACCTGTGCAGATCTGTTATTCATTGAAAAGGACTGACTGGAACTGGGAACCTCTATCAGTGGTTATTATTGAAGGACAACCAAAGATAGAGATCCACTCTCTAAGAATGCACCTGGAAATCGTTTCCGCAGAAATACTTTTTAAAGGAACGGCTACAGGCCAACGAGTGAAACAATCGATTATTGTTAATAAGTATTGGTACCCATCAATGTCGGGCAAAGGGCCCACTAAGTCAACGTGAATGTGGGTGAACCTACCATCAGGCTTAGAGAATGTACCCGGCGGAGACTTGGTATGCCGTTGTATTTTAGTTTGCTGGTATTTTAAACAAGTCTGTGTCCAGTGTTTTATGTCACTGGACATTTTTGGCCAAACGAAACGATCACTAATCATCTTAGTAGTCGCTCTTCGACCAGGGTGCGACAGAGAATGGAAATGTTCGAATACTTTTTTTCGCAAAGAAGGTGGTACATAGGGCCTAGAGTATCCTGTGCTTACATCACAATAGACAGTAGTGTTACCAAATGGCACAGGGTGTTGCTTTAACTGTAGTGACGTTTTTTCTTTTACTGATTCCAAAGTAGTGTCAGTCTTTTGTTCTTCCGCTAAGGAGTCGAAATTCAAGGTCTGTGCGTCAATTGACTGTATCGTTGATCGCGATAGGGTATCAGCTACTATATTGTCAGCCCCTTTTACATAGCGGATATCCGACGTATATTGGGAAATATAATCCAATTGTCGGATATCCCTTGGAGTATATTTGTCCGACTTGGCGTGCAAAGCAAAAATTAATGGTTTATGATCTGTATAGACCACAAAATTCCGTCCTTCCAAAAGATGACGGAAATGACGGATTGCCAAGTATATTACCAGTAATTCCCTTGAAAATGCGCTGTACTTTTTCTGAGATGAGTTTAGCTTGACTGAAAAGAACGAAATAGGTTTTTTAGCATCTCCCTGTTCCTGGTGAAGCACAGCCCCTATGGAGTCGCCTGTTGCGTCTGTTGTCAGTGTGATCATTGAGTCATCATCGGTTATATATGATAACTTCGTAAAGTTGGCAAGGGTGTCTTTGGCTCTGTGAAAAGCAGTCCGTGATTCGCCTTCCAAGGTAATCTTTGAGTTCTTCTGACGCTGTTGTTGCAGTAAATCTGTGAGGGGAATCAGAATCTGGGAACAACCAGGAATGAACCCCCGGTAGTAATTAATGAGGCCTAAGAATCGGCGTAACTGCCGGAGTGAAGTTGGTTGTGAGAAATTTGAAATAGATTCTATTTTCTCAGGTAAGGGCGTTATTCCCTTTTCGTCAATGACGTGTCCCAAAAATTTAAGCGAGGGCACAGCAAAAATACATTTCTCTGCGTTAATCTTAAGGCCAAAATGCTGTAGACGCTGGAAAACTTGTTCAACGTGGTTACGATGTTCAGTCTTGTTTCTACTGGCGATCAGGACGTCATCAATATAGGCAAAGGTGAAAGGTAAACCTCTCAGCACTTCGTCTATAAGCCGTTGGAAAGATTGTGCAGTGTTCCTTAAACCAAATGGCATTCTCACAAATTCGTATAAGCCAAAAGGAGTAGTTATTGCTGTTTTATGGATGTCTTCCTTGGCCACTGGTATCTGGTGGAATGCTTTCACCAGATCAAGTTTGGTGAAGACTGTGGCGCCCTGCAGACCCACTGCGAAATCGTGCAAGTGCGGGATGGGGTATTTATCCGGAATTGTAGTAGCATTCAGCTTCCGGAAATCGCCACAAGGTCTCCAAGCTCCTGAGTCCGGTTTTTGAACCATATGAAGAGGAGATGAGTAAGGACTCGAAGAAGGTCTAATTATACCGAGGTCCAGCATGTGCTGAAACTCGTCTTTCGCCAGTTTATATTTATCAGGCCTCAATCGCCGTGGAGATGAATGCGTGGGTGGTCCCGTAGTATCAATGTGGTGCTCAGCATTGTGACGAACGGTTTCTGTATACCGGAATGGTGTTGTAATTTGAGAATATTTTTGTAACAGATCCTGCATTCCGTTGGCTTCAGGTACAGTTGCGCTGATATATGTGCTCGTATAAATAGATGTAATTCCTTTCCTTGTAATGTTGGTCGTTTTATCCTCCAAAGAAAGGGAAGACATATTAACGGACAAGTTAAAGTGGGCGAGGAAATCCGCTCCTAGGATTGGGGTTCGAACTTGGGCTATCGTGAATACCCACGGAAAAGATCGCCTAAATCCCAGATTTAGGGTTAAAGAGGTTTCACCATATGTCTGGAGTGAAGATCCATTCGCCGCTTGTAACGTATAATCTGTCTTTCTAGTCAACATATTAGGCTTGGCTGGTATTACACTAATTTGTGCCCCAGTGTCCACTAAAAACAAGTAGCCGGAGTTCTCATCTCGGATGTAAAAGAGACGACTTTTTGGCATCCCTCCGGCAGCAAACGTCTCTACTTGTTGCCGGGATAATCGTTTCCCGACTGCTGTATGTTGTTATCCTTAGCTGCGTTTATGTCGAAGTTACACGGTTTCGTACAATGCCGCGCTTGTTGTCCATATTTAAAATGATACCAACAGGTATTAAATATAGGCTTGCTTCTGGATGTGGAACGTGATCTTCGCCTAGTATGATGTGATGGACGTGGTCGACTAGTGAAATTGTTGGGTGTGCGATTTTGCTGATGCATAGCGGTTTGTAGAGCTTGTAACTGTGAGGTAAGCTCGGCTATACAATCTTTAATTTTCGATAACTCTTGTGAGTCACGGACTGAAGAGACAATAGGTTGTAGTGGTGTCGCAGAAGCAGTTCCCGGAGGTTTATTCTCATATATTTTGTCCGCGATTTCTGCCAATCGCTGTAGGTCCAAATCGTCCGGGAGTGACACTAATATTTGTGATGTTTGTGGGCTCAGTTTATCCATCCATAGTTTACGGAGGACTGTGTCAGACATGGTATTGTCACCTAGTAAAGCTTTCATCTTTCTAAGCAATTGGGAAGGTTTATAGTGTCCCAAATGAAGGTTGTTAAACAAATCGTGCAACCGACGTTCCACTGATTCGCCCGTGCGGTATAGTATAGCATCTTTCAAAGTATCATACGGTTTCTCCGCCGGCACTTCAATGAGGAGGTCTGCTACCTCTAATGCTACATCTGAGGGAAGTTTCTCAACTACAAAAGCGTAACGGGCATGTTGAGACGTGACCTTTCTTGCATTAAAAATTGCGTTTAACTGCGCAAACCACACTTGAACGTTGGTGTGGTTGTATGTCGGTAGACTGATGGAAATTGCCGCTTCAATATGTTCGCTGGTAGAATTTTCCATTATTTCCGTTTAAAAACGTGACAACTAAAGTATTTCTCTTATAAAATGCTGTTTTTAAAATATTGCTTTGCACATTTGAACTTCGGGGTCACCAATTTATAGTGGGTCAGCCAATTTGTATTGGTTATAAATAGAAATAAAAACTGACCCTCTACAATTTTTACAATATCAAATCTAACAAAGACAGCAACAAGAGAAATAGTCAAGTAGAAGAAAATGTGAATTTTGTTCAACAATAAATATTTTTTTATAAACACAACAAATACATAATATATAGTGCAAAAGTTGATAAACACAATAGAGTTCTTTGGTGTGTGTGTTACTGAAAGAATTTGAGCTACTGGACTGTATGTGTGAAAATGGCAAGGTTTAGTTAGCTATATTTGTTTTTATAGGAAAATTAAACAGATGTTTTTTTTGTGTATTAAATAGAAAAAAAACATTGTTCTTGACTCACTGATTGTTATCGCTCATTAACCAGAGATTCTTGTGGAATGGAATATTTTGTGGGAGTGAGCGTTAAGCCTGGAGATGGTTGACAAAGTTTGTTGTTTTTATTGAAGATAAAGTTCGTTCGTCTCCTTTTGATTTCTGTGTTGATTTCCAATGAAGTCAAGTGAATTGGTTTCAATATTTTAAGTGCCCACTGACCAAGTCGCGTCGAAGTTTCGTTTTTATTAGTTCTCTTGGTCACGTGGGGAGGCTCGTAAACATGTTTACATTTTATGGCGTCAACTCGAGGTCAAAATTTGGGTCGGTACCTTCGGACGTAGTTGACGCCACCTAATTAATATTTTACAACCAATCAAAATACAGTTATATTTGGCTGGGAGCCTCTATGTGTTTAACTTGCACAAAATTTAAGATTAAAAAAAAATGTAGGAATCTGATTTTACAGAGGAAAACGAATCTTTCCTGAAATTAATACCAACCAACGCGAGTGAATGGACAGAATTATTGTAAAAATTTCAATATTTTAAAATGTTTGTAAAATTTGAAATTTGTAATATAACTTTGAAACTTGTGAAAATCAATTTTTCTCAAGAAATTTGCTATTTGAAAAAATTAGAAATATTTTTCGATCAATAATGTTATTGCTTTTCCAATGTTTTCAAATAGCAAATTAAATTTTGAAACAGCCGTGTTTACCGTTCAAAAATAGCGAAAAGGGCCAGCTTTTTTACATAAATTTCAATATTTTTCAATAGATTGTAAAAAATAAAATTTGTAATACTACTTTGAAACGTTTCCAAAGAAATATTTTTCGATCGATACCATATCGATTCTCAATAATTTTATTGGTTTCCTAATGTTACAGTTACCAAATTAAATTTACAGACAACCGTGTTTAACGTTCAAAAATTAGCGAAAAACAGCTTGCTTCTGAACTTAAATTTCAATATTTTTTGAACGTTTGTAAAACCTAAAATTTGTAATATAACTTTGAAACTTGTGAAAATCAATATTTTACGATCGTTGACATATCGAAATTCAATTATGTTATTGGTTTTCTAACGGTTTCAAACAGAAAATTATTTTTTCCAACAACCATGTTTAACGTTCAAAAAGTAGCGAAAACAGCTTGCATCAGCACGAAAATTACAATATTGTTCAAAAGTTTCTAAAAAAACATATGTTTGTAATAAAACTTTATGAAAACTGTTAAAACTTGTAACGTCAATATTTTTCGATCGATACCATATCAATTTAGAATAAAGTTATTAGTTTTCTAATGTTTTCAAACATCAATTTACATTTACAAACAGTGTTTAACGATCGAAAATTAGGGAAAAATGTTTGATACTGCACGTAAACATTTCAAAATCAATATTTTCCGATCGACACTATACAGATTTTCAATTTAATTGGCTTTGTAAACTTAGAAAATAGCAATTTCAATGTTCAAGCAAGCGTCTTTAACGTTAAAAAAAGTAGCCAAAATGGCTTCGTTTAGCAAGTAATTGCAATATTTTTCAAACATATGTAAAACATAAAATTTGTCATGTAACATCGTGAAAACAGTTGAAACTTGTCAAAATCAATACTTTTCGATCGATAACATATCGATTTTCAATAATTTTATTGGCTTTCTAATGGTTCCAAATAACAAGTAAGCGTTTTTAACGTTCAAAAACCAGGCAAAACAGATTGCCTTTGCAAGTAAATCTACAGATTTTTCAAATTTTGTAAAAGATAAAATTTGTAATATAGGATAGTGAAAAGACTTGAAAATCAATATTTTTCGATTGATAATTTATAGATGATCAATAATGTTATTGGCTTAATACTGTTTCAAATAGCAATTTCAATTTTCAATCAAAAAGTAGACAAAAGAGCTTGCTTTTGCAAGTAAATCACAATATTTTTCAAAACTTTGCAAAACATAAAATTATGAGGAATATGACATTGTGAGAAATTTTGAAACTTGTGAAAATGTTACCAAATTGAAAATTTGAATGAAGCGTATTTAAAGTTCAATATGTAGCCTAATCAGCTTGCTTTTGCAAGTAAATCTTAACATTTTACAAACATTTGTAAAATGTAAAATATGTAATATAACTTTGAGAACAGTTGAAACTTGTGAAAATCAATGTTTTTCGATCGACGAAATATCGATTTTCAATAATTTTATTGGCTTTCTAAGATTTTCAAATATCAATTTAAATTTTCATGCAGGCGTGGTTAACGTTCAAAAAGTAGCCAAAAGAGCGTGCTTTCGCAAGTAAATCTCAATTTTTTCAAACATTTGTGAAAACAGTTGAAACGTGTGAAAATCAATAGTTTTCGATCGATACCATATCGATCTTCAATAATTTTATTGGCTTTCTTAAGTTTCAAAAGAGCAATTTCAATTTTCAATCAAGCGTGTTTAACGTTCAAAAAATAGGCAAAACATTTTGATTTTACAAGTAAATATCCAAATTTTTCAAGACAATTTAAATCATAAAGTTTGGAATGTAAAAAAATGTTTTGAATGAAAACTGTTGAAACATGTCAAAATCAAAGTTTTTCGATCGATATTCGAAAATTTTATTGGCTTAAAAATGTTAGCAAATAGCAATTTAAATATTCAAGCAAACTTGTTTAACTTTAAATAGTAGAGCAAACAGCTTGCTTTTGAATGTAAATATCAATGTTTTTCAAAACTTTGTAAAACATACAATTTGTGAAAAGTGTTGAAACTTGTTAAAGTCATTATTTTTTGATCGATACCATATCGATTTTCAATAATTTTATTGGCTTTCTAATGTTTCCAAATAGTTATTTAAATTTTCAAGGGATCGTGTTTAGCGTTGAAAAAGTAGCCAAAACATCTTGCTTTTGCTTGTAAATCTCAATATTTTGCAAACCTCTGTAAAACATGAAATTTGTAATATAACCAAGTGAAAACTGTTGAAACTTGTTAAAATCAACATTTTCTGATCGATACCATATATATTTTCAATAATTTTATTGGCTTTCTAATGTTTCCAAATAATTCTTTAAAATTTTCATGCAAGCGTGTATAACGTTGAAAAAGTAGTCAAAACAGCTTGCTGTTGCATGTAAATCTTAATACTTTTCAAACCTTTGGAAAACATAAAATTTGTAATATAACTTAGTGATAACTGTAGAAATTTGTTAAAATCAATATTTTCTCATCATACCATATCGATTTTCAATAATTTGATTGGCTTTCTACTGTTTCCAAATAATTATTTAAATTTTCATGAAAGCGTGTTGAACGTTGAAAAGGTAGCCAAAACTGCTTGCTTTTGCATGTAAATCTCAATATTTTTCAAACCTTTGTAAAACAAACTTGTTAAAATTAATATTTTTTGATCGATACCATATCGATTTTCAAGTGGGACCACTCACTATGGACCAATCTCCCCACTGGTACGATTTCTTTTTCAATATTTGTAAAACAAGTACCGTATATGCTGGACGCACCCCACGTATTGGATGCATGGAATATTTAAAGAAAAAAATGTTCATATCACAAACAAAATATTCAAAATTATAACCTTACATCTCACTAACCATGTAGAAACACTTACAACATCAGCACAAATTATACTATTGGTACTCTTTTTAATAGAAGTAAGCTATTTTGGGAAAAAAGTT